AATCAGTAAAAGAAACGTCGAGTGGGACACGAAATATGAATGCGAAGGTATAATGAATACATAAATCGTATACATATTGGGTTTAATTTTACAGAAATTATTATATATTAAATATACAAAAAATATTTTCAGAATTAAGGTGAAAAAAAATTAAATGATTTAGATTTCGTCGTAGAAATTTGTTTCTAAACCGATCCCCTTAAACCCTCCCTCCCACCCACCCTTTGTTCCACTCGACAAAAATATGACATTTAAATCGAAAATCCATTATGCATTATTTCCCTTACCACCTAGTACCCCGTACAATCTCAAAATTGGTAACATCGATTTTCAAGTTATGTACGAAAACGTTTTCTTTTATGCTAGCGCACTTTTATAGGTTTTTCATAGGTTTTGCTGACACAAGAGAACAGAAAAAAAAAAGAAAAGCCCGTTTCGTCATTGCGAATGTAATGTGTAGTTATATGCACATAGTTCTTTTCTCATTTTAACAAAATGTTGCTTGAAAATTTTTGACAATTCACGCGGCGTTAACTTCGCGTGACACGACGTTTAAAACGGCACCGTGCATTTTTTTTTTTCTTTGCTTTCCCCTTGCGAAATTATTTAACGCGAACGTTGTGGTTTTTTTCCCCACTTCCTCTCTCTCTCTCTCTCTCTTTCTTTCTGCGTTAAAAAAAAAAAAAAAAAAAGAAAAAAAAAAAGGAAAAAGAGAAGAAAACATTTCAAAACTATTTTTTACGCTTTTATACTATACCATATTAATTAAGAACCAAGAGGTGAACAAAAATTCGAGTAGTTTCAACGTATTCGCGAAATATGCGTTTTTTTTTTTTTTTTTGATAAAATAAACGAACAACATAGTAGTAGTAGTAGTAGTAGTAGTAGTAGTAGTAATAGTGGTAGTAGTCGACACGGTTTCGGTATATAGAAGAAATTTTTGTTGATTTATTTTACTTTTACATTAAAAATGTATTTTACGTATATTTTTGCGTGTACGTGAATAGTACTTGTTGACTAGTCGACATCGTTATTTTACATTATAATTTATTATTCGTCTATTACAGATTTAAGGATTGACATAGCGTTTATTTTGCGTTAACTTTTTTTTTTTTCAAACGAAATAAACTTGAATTATCGTGCTTTTATTTTTTTTTTTTTTTTTGTTTAGTAATTTGCAAAAAAACAGGCGCGTGTCGACCTACTAAATGCCACGTAGCGTAGTAGAAAAATAAATTCCCATTTTCATCGGGAATATTGACTTTTCGTCTAATTACACGCGTTGTCCCACGGAGATTGCACGGAACGAAGTTTCGGTCTGTTGAGAGGAGGGAGGGAGGGGAGGGGAGGGGGTGGGGGTAGATAGGAGGGAGAGAGAAAGAGAGAGAGAGCAAAAAAAAAGAAGATTATTTCGTTCCATTTACAACGGTGAATCGAATCGGAAAGATATTTTCGGTTTTGGCCGTAAGCTTTTTCGTTTGCACGCTGGCTCGCATTCACTGACAGATTTTTCTTTTTTTTTTTTTTTTGCACAAGGTCCAACTGCGAAATTTTAGCATTGTAAAAATGTCTATTTCGTATTAAGTTAGTTTTTTTTCCACGAGAACTTAGCTTCGCGAGTGGATTATTAATTTTTTCTTGATACATTATTTTAAATTATGTGATATTATAATATTTATCACGTATGTTATATTACATTACGTTATAATACTGTTACGTAATGAGAGTATCAATCGAACGAGTTAGTTAAATCGTGAATAAAAAAAAAAATAATAATAACGGATTAGAGAGAGAGAGAGAGAGAGAGAGAGAGAGAGAGAAGAAGAAATAATTAAACGTTAATCTTGCAAAAATATTTCGAGTAATTACGAAAATGAATAATTTACGATAAGATGATTCCCCTTTTTAAAGACTTTTTCTATTTTATAAATAAAAACAAAATATATGGAAATTAACGATTGAAAAATTCTTCAACGTTGACACAATCGTGACTCGATGTTTTCGTATTACACGACGAATACGAAAAAATATAATATCCCACGCGAAAGATATTTTTATTTTTACAGGAGAGAGATTTTTGTTGTAACACACATAAAACACAAACATCGATTTATATGAATAGCAAAACTTGTAATCAGAGATATGGAAGAAAGGTGGTGGAAAATGGGGAGGAGGACAGGGGAGGAAGAAAATCGTTTATTATCTGTTCTTGATGGTAATATCATACGCATCGATATCCGTAAAGTTTAACGAAGCACGAATGAGGAAGGATTCCCGTTTTCTGTGCAAATACGTTCGTAAATATTAACTTTAAACACAGTCTATCTCTCTCTCACTCACTCACTCTCATATATATATATATATATACGTGTTGTGTTTCATCGTAAATGTGTGTTAGATGCAGTTTGACATATACGTATGTATGTGGTTCGTATCTATATACGTATGTATGTGGTACGTATCTATATACGTATGTATGTGGTACGTATCTATATACGTATGTATGATGTACCTATGCACGGTAATTTCAGCTGAATCGACGTGTAATTTCTACCGCGGCTCTGAATACACAGTGAGCATCGTTTCTATAGTATATATTACATTACATGCATACATTGACATATATATATATGTACACGTGTATAAAGATACAGGTATAGATGCATAGGATACCTATATATCTACTTAACTTCAGTAATTCTCTCTCTCTCTCTTTTTCACTCATGCTCTTTCACTCTTTTCCTCTGTTCCTCATTTTCCTTTTTTTTCCTCTTAGCCCACAAACGGGGAGTATATTCCCTCACGCATACTTCTCTCATACGACGACAACTATGACAAGTGCAATGGAAGTGAAGAGCGAATACAGGACGAGTGTGTGTATGTGTGTGTGAAAAGGAGAAAGAGAGAGAGAAAGAGAAAGAAAGGGGAGGTGGTAGGCGGTAGATGATTGTGATGGTAGTGAGGAGGAGGAGGAGGGGGAGGAGGAGGGAGGAAGGGCCACCTTTTTGCTTCGTCACGCTGGCAGAAAAGTCGAGCACGACGAAGCAATTAGTCGTTGGTAATACGAATATACCATAACCACGGCTTTAATCGTGTATTTTCTCTCTCTCTCTCTTCTCTTCTCTCTTTATGTTTTTCTCTGTCTTTCTCATCGTTTCCTTTTTCTAAAGGTTCACGGATTACGAATAGGGCAGGGGGGAGGATTGGGATGAGACGCAAACAATGACTCGTAGTAAACACAGTTTCATGTGAACATATATTTATGCAATGTGGGTGTGCGATCAGATGTTTGTGTGTATTTAAATGAAATAAGTGACGAAGGGTGGGGGTGAAGTCTTAATAAATACGAATTATAATATTTTATTATAATACACGAATCATATAATTATATATATATGATTTATTTTATTATTATTTAAAATATTCTTAATCTTCTTCACGTCGAGTGATTTTTATTTCGAATATAAAATATTTATAATTAATCTCTCTCTCTAGAAGAAATATATTGGTGCACTTTATAAAAATAAATAA